ATTGATGCAACTGGTAGATATCAAAAAAAAATCTAACTAGTGAATGTTTTTAGATAACTGTATTATTTTATTTTCTTGTAAATGTAACTGCAAATAGTCTACTGTTGAAGGCAGAATTAAGGATGTACAGTTTCAGTTTATTGACCGTTGATGTCACCGACTCATGAAGAAATATTCTCAATATGAATAGTAAAAAAATCTGTTTTGGTTTGGTCTTCTAGTCTTTACTTGTCAAGTTATGGATGCTTTACTCTCCATGTGAAAATTTTTCTCATTTTAAGATATTTATAAGTGGCCTACATTAGTTTATATTGTTGTTTAAAAAGCACAAGTAAGCGCACATTTTAAGTCACTTAAAATTACTTCGAATATATCAGCGATTAAAATATTAGTGAATGCTCTTCCAAGTTCCTTGTAACAGCTGAAAGAGTCAAAGTTTAAGTCCTTACCAGCTGCTTAGAATTTATGTACTCAACTGCAACCGAGAAGCAGCTGAACATGGCAAAATTCAAGTACTTTTCAGTCACATGCAACTTAAGCGGCGGTAGGGTCCTTAAATTACATCATATTTAAATAATGATCAGCTGCTGTCGAAGAAATAAATTCTAAGCAGCTGGTAAGAACTTAAACTTTGACTTTTTCAGCTGCTACAAGGTGCTTGGAAGAGCATTCACGAACATTTTAATCGCTGATAAACGCTTAAATATGTTCAGAGTATCTTTATGTATCTTAAAATGTGCATTTACAAGCGCTTTTTAAACGAAACTATAGCCTATATTAAGTCAACTGTTCGCTCAAATTTTCATATGGGTCAATATTGTCCTATGAGCATAGAATCGCTGAAGAGCTTGTCGATCAAATTTTGAGCAGAAGTTATGCCTATCGATATGCCCTATTCCTACTAGAAATATTCTAAAGCTTGAGCTAGAACGAATGTATCTGTATCAAGATATGAGCTTGCCATAACAACGTTCTTCTTTCGAAATGCACCTGGAAATAGATGCTTCTTTAAAATATAAATATCTTAGCAAAGATACGATCTTTCTTGCTAAATGTATGAAGAATTTCTCTGACTATAAGGCTTTATGAAACGTCCAGAATTCGACAAGTGAAAACCAGAAAACTAAACCAAAAACAGACTTTTTTCTACTGAGCATGACCGATCGAATAAAACTAGTCTCAAGCAAAAAGCGATTGAGCAGTTTAGAATGTTTCTTTGTCAGTGTAATTAAGGCGCATTGTAACTAGTGATTACTGAAGCATTGCAAAACGCGCCTATAAAAAGAGCCTATTTGGATAGAGTTAGTGTCTCGGTGTTATATAGCACTGTCCAGTATTTACACCAACAGTGCATATTTAAAGGCAAAATCATTCTAGAATCATATATTACATAGCTAGTTTATCTGAGAGAATCATTGTCAACACTGACCTTATATTGTAGCAATTAAAGTATTTTCTTCCAGTAATATAAAAAATACTACTCACGTATTTATCTATATCTCTTTATTCATACTATTATATATTTTCAGTCACTTATTCGTAATCTTAACAGCTATATCGTCTGTATTTTTTATGTATCAAAGTATAGCGAAAAGATTCACTTACTACTTCATTTTAAATAGTATGAATGGCATTAAAATCTTAATAAATAATTGGAATGAAATAATTAACTCTTTAGATTTTGCTCTAAAACGAATATCATTTTTTATTAAATAGTGAAAAAACCTTTTTTTTCTGTTAGACTTTCGACATAATGCACATACATAAGAATAGACTAAAAACCACCAGAACTAGTCCTTCTCTAGCTGACAGTAACTTTGAATTTTTCAAGTATTGCTTATGAAAAAAATGTATGTTTTTTTTTCAATCTGAACGATTAGATTATGCTATATCAATACATTAACGAACATTCATTTTAACTATGAAAAATATACTTCTTTCTCAATATAAAATCTATTTATAAAATTACAAACGACAATATTGTCAAGTCCACATCAAACTTTTACCTCTATGGAACAGAAACTGAAAATATAAATAAGTATAACAATTAAAGTGAATAAAACATAGTACAAAAAATCTCATAGATTATGCACAAAAAACCATCTTATAACATGTAAGGGAGAACTGGGGAAATTGTCAGTGTGAGAAATAAAAAAACCCAGAAAGAAAGAAAAAGTAAATTAATAGTCGCTTTAGCAATAAGAAAAATTCTCTTACGACACCTATAACAAAGTATAGATCATAGCATATAACGGTCAGAGATTATTGAAGAGTAAAACATAACTAACAAGAAAACCATCTCACATGGCTTCAAGCTTTCATCTTTAAGTAGATTTCAGTGAGACTAAGAAAACTCGAGAAGCGTTTCTGCTTATGACCTTTTATTCCAGAGATACAGTCTAAATAATGCCATAAACAATGAAATTTTGTTTTTCATTTTTGAAATGTATGTTTTTTTGTCGTCTAAGTAGATTTAGGCTAATGTTAATATAGCCATCATGAGTAATAGTTTATCTGCTGTAGTGATTTCAAATTCAGAAATCTCCTAATACTTAGAACATCAAATTATAATTGTATAAGACTTGATGACTTATGATTTAACAGAAGAAAGAAAAACAAATAGAAATCACAGAACAATCATTGATGCTTTTTGATCAAGTATACGTCATGTTCATGCCAGAGAAGAATATTTGAAGCCTATATGGTATATTATGAGCTTCAACCGATCTTCTCTGACTCTTTCATGACACATACATGG